AGTTTTCAAAAACTTCAATTATTTGCCTACCCCTGCCCCCCAAAGGCATTTCCTATCTAGCCTGTTGCAATGCAAGGAAAATTCTCATCCCAGTCTTGGGTATTCCAAAACAGAAGTTTGAATCAATGAAATCTTACTGTAGACTTTTCACATACCATTATAAATATGCCGAAAAAGAGTTTCGTTCACTTTCTGAATCAGTAACTTGGGCACTGGGCCAACCTCGCTTACAATGTGCGTTAAGGTACTTCTATCCACTAGGGGAACTCACATAGCCTCCTGCTAAACTTGAACTAACTTCGCCCCAAGTTCCATCCTACAGACATGCTGCTGATGCTCATGCTGACCTGGAGTTGCTGAAGCTCTGAAAGTTTCTTTCTGAGGACATATGGTAACAAAAGTCCAGGCCACCCTGCATTTAGCAATTCTAGTTTGATCCATGCTGTCTCTGTAAGTCAAGTCTTCGAGAAGCTTCTCTTAGCTCTTGCCAGTCACGGGTAGAAGAAAGTCTTTACTTTCTTATTCCTGCAGCCACAGCTGTCCTGTCACTCCTCCACTCTTTCCCAGAGGCAGCTTTACTTGAAGCTAATGAAACTGAAAGCCCTCTTGCAGGATCCTTCCAATGCCCTAGCAACATTTTCATCTGGTCATTTTCTCTTTTTCTAAAAGAGGACGCCTCAAATTACATAAGCATCGTCCCACCAGAACTAGATCCTCTCCCCACTTCCCTCCCCACTGCTGCCCACCAGCCACCACCCAAGCAGCAGCTAGGATGACCCTGTGGGCAATGGTGGTTACCAATGGTGGTTCTGCTGCCCCCACGTCCGGTATGTTAATCAGCCACATGCTAGGGGAAGAATTTGAGGGTTTTTTTTTTTATTTTTATTTATTTATTTATTTATTTACTTTTTTATTTTTTATTTTTTTTTGCCTCAAAAGATTGACTTAACATCAATGAGCAGATTAGACTATGCAGGATGACAAAGGATGTTTTACTGATTTATGAAATTATTCACATGGAAAGTTCCACAAAGCTAATTTCACATGTACTAAGTCACCATTATTGAAAAGAACCAAGTGATGTTAAAATAAGGCCTCTCCCAGAAAAGTGGGAAGTTCTATAGAATGGTACATATCCACCAATACCCGTTAAAACAGTGGTTCTTGATCAGGGGTGACTTTGTTCCCCGGGGGACTTCTGGCAACAAATGGAGAAATTTTTGATTGTCACAACTTGGGGTGGGAGAGCATGCTACTGGCATGGACTTGGGTAGAGGCCAGGGATAGTGATAAACACTCTACAACACAAAGGACAGTCCCCCATGACAAAGTCTTATTCAGGCCACAACATCAATAGCACTCAGGCTGAGAATCCCCTCCTTAGAATAATGAGCATGTGTAGACGGGTAAAGAAGCAAGGATTCTGTTTGGAAAACGATTAACCTTTAAACACCAGGGCAAGTGAAGGTCAGGTGGACAGCTCAGGCAGAGCTGCTATCTGACTTCAGTCACCACACTAAGGTAAAGAGCATGGAAGGCTCTGGACTTTCATGGATCACACAGGACTGCAAGGACCCTTGCCAAGAGTGGCTACGTGAGGAGGTGGTAGAATAATTTCTGGAGCACCAGGAAGGGCACTTTGCCTCCCCAATTACCTCCAACACCCACTTGTCTGTGCTTGAAATCCTCTCGTGGTGGACAAAACCTTTCATTCCATAATGAGGTTTAAAGTACAAAGACCCCTGGAAAAATGAACAGTGACCTACATTCATATTCAAGAGAAAGTGACTGATGACAGATTGTTTTGCCCCTGAGTTTTCATACAGTGAAAGGCTCTGAGCAGCTCAAAGTGGTGCATGCAGAGGAAGAGAGGACAGGCCCTGAGGAGGGAGGGAAAGGGTGAAGAAATGGGCAATACAGCGTTCGAAGAGAAATGTCATCTCCAGACCATGCCTGAGCCTGCTGGGAGGCAGGGCTGCAGAGAGAAAAGAAGAAGTCACATTCTTAGCCTTGAAGAAGATTACAATCAAGTTCAGCTCAGGTGAAAAAACTCCAGGAATGCTTGAAAGAATGGCAGAGATGCAGTGTGGTCCCTGCAGCGAACAGCAGACAAAGGTCCTCACCAGCCCTGGGATCACAGTGAACCTCAAACTGTGCCAGGTGCCCCTCCCAACCCCCGACACCTAGCAAAGTCATGGACACAGTAAAATGCTCAGGCAGCAATTCTTTGAATGAATGGAAACTATTCTAGAGCAAGACCTACCCAATTCCTGGTTTGTTTTCCTTCACACCTTTGCTTACACCATTTCTCTCAATTTGGGAGGAAGCCTTGGTTTGAAGTCTTCTCTTCCCATGTGAGTCCTATTCCATCTCGAGAGGCCAGTTTATGTTCTCTCTGTACATTCCTGACTTCAGCCTCTGTGGGTTCTTCCTCTGCTCTTAAGTATAGGGCCTCCAGGCCATTCACCTAATGTTTACCCTATGTCCTATGTATCTTTTATAATGGGCCTAATTCCAGGAAGGATTTGAGGGGAGCTTTCAAGTTCATAACAAAAAATAAGACAATGTTGTTTAAAAAGAATTTAAGAGGGAAACTGGAGATAATTTGAGAAGAAAAAGATCACTGTACCAAGAAGCTGGTACATAAAACAGTTACCAGGAATTACTGGAGGCCAAGGTAAAAAGATAAACACACTACACATATAGAAGGTGCTCACTGAGAAGAGGGAAGCCACAATTCCATGACTGCAGGATTTTCTTTGCCAAATTCTAGGAGGAAAATGCTCCTGGCTTTTCAAGTCTGCTGCGCAAACAGTCATTTTACGTGTTGATCTCAAGAACTCTGTCAGGTCCTTTAGGACAGAATACATCTTAGATTATATTTCCCTGATAACAGCCTATATTAAACATAAGTGCTCAAATATTTGCTAATAGACTAATGACCGGCAGGTTGCTCGCCAATCTGGACATTCCAGTGTATCTCAGGATCCCAAAAGGATCAGAGCAGTAAGTCATCAAATCTCTTAGCAGGAAGGACCATTTGATTCTTCCCCTGAGTCCCTAGCCCCCCAAATGATGGGATTTTAAAGACAGGCTCACCCCACCTGCTGTCACCAGTTTGAAACTAGGGGCTGGAAGGTCCATTCAGGTCCTATCTTCCTGCCTCCCCCCCACCCCCTTCCTGGTTTAGTTGATTGTCCTTTTGTCTGTCTTTCTGTCCACACCACAGATTCTCTCATCCCTTTGAGTGTCAGGGCCTTGCCCTATTAACCTTTAATTCATGGCAGTAATTAGCATGGTGCTCTGCACAAAGGAACTGCCTTCTTCTTCTTCTTTTTTTTTTTTTCCCAGTGTAAGGAAAGTGAATTTGGAAAGAGGTTCCAGAGCAGGCCTTTTCATTATTCTGCCTTGCTGCCCTCTGACCCCTCCAGCTACAGTGTAGAACACCAGCTCTTCCGACACCACATGACAAGCAGTCCAGAAAGGTTAAAATGCAAGTTACTAAAGGAACTGAGGACTCAAGGGCCCAAAGACACATTCGCTCTCCCTTGTTTCCCCATGCCCCCCAAAAGTAGGCTGGGCAATCCTTCAGAAACACACGCACACACACATGATAACAAAAAACCTTTGTACGCAGAAGGTGCTCAGTAAATATCTATCAAAATAAGGTCACAGCACAACTATCTTGAATACAGGAAACGCTCAATAAGTATCTGCTAAATTGAAAAGTTTATAACACATGTACTTTACACGTAGTAGATGCTCAATAATTACCTTTTAAATTAACATGATCGTAGGACTTACTTCTGCCTCAAACATAGCAGGCCCCCTGTAAATGGCTACTAAATTGAATAGTAGTAGACGCCCGCTCAGAGAACCCGGGCAGAGGTGACATCAGTCAAATCCCAGGCAGAGATCCATGAATGGAAATGCGCGTCTCAAGGTAGCGCTTTCGAGAGAGCGGGAGAGGCGCGTGACAGTGCGCGGCCGCGGCGCACAGCGCGCTTTTTCCGGAGCCGCGGACTCCCCGCCCGCTCCCCAGCATTGATTAGCGATCGGGACCCATTCCCCACCCAGGCGCGGGAAACGGCCGCCGCCTCCAACTCTCACTTCGGGGCTGCACCTGGAGCTCCCGCATCGGCCCCCTCCCGGGGGCATCCGCCCACTCTGGCTTCTCCTCGGATTCCGGAGAGTTGCGGGCAGAACAAAAGCAAACGCCCCGAGGCTTCCGATTGCTTTTCCGATGGAGAGCACCCCGGGAAGAGGCTGAAGCCAGCCCGGGACCCGGCTCCGTGGTCAAACCCGATCGGCTGCCGGCAGCCGCCCGCCCTCTCCAGCAGATTCAGGCTCGGGATTGCAGAGCCGGGGAAAGCAGCGGGGCTCCCTCCCTCCCCGCCCTCTCGGGCGCCCCGAGCCCCCGCCCTGGGCCGCGGGAGGGCAGAATGGGCGCCTCGGTCGGGTAGGGGTGTGTGTGTGTGGGGGGGCGCTATATTAACCCCTGAACGAAGCGCGAAGGAGGCTGGAGGGAAAGATGCTAGGGGACTGGGGCAGACCCCACAACCAAGATCCGAATTTGAACTCGCAGTGCGAACCGCCCCTCGGCGCCCCCAAACGCGCAGAACTGCCCGCGGGGGTGGGGTCCCCTCAACGGCGCCGGGTCCCTCAAGCCTCCTCCTCTACACACCCCCGCGGGGATGCCCAGCGGCAACCTTCCCATCCGAACCACAGATCCAGCGGCAGCCCCCGCGCGCGGTTGGCCGAGGAAGGGGTCCTAGGGGGCGGCCGCGTCGGTCTCGCGGGAGACACCCCCCGCTCGGAAACTCGCTAGTTTGGTATTTGCTTGGTTTTCCGTTTGGGTTGTTTTTTCTTAAGGTGGGTGGGGGTGCAGAGAGAGCCGGGAAGTAGCATTTCTTCCTTTCGCCCGGCTTCTCCGGAGCCCGCTGAACTCCGAGAGGGGCAGGCAGCAGCAGAAGAAAGAAAGCGGAGGGGGAGCCACTTACCCAAAGCAGAGCCCGAGAGCGCGGCGGCCCGGGCGCGAGCGGCGCCTTTGTCTGCGGTCGCGGCGCCGGCGCGCTCGGC